TGTTCCTTTGCACCCCTCCCCCACTGTCTCCCCCATCCCTGCTGGACCCCTAATCGTGGGTGGGTCTCTCTGAGTGTAGGGACTCCTCCCCTCCCCCAGCCACCCCACAGGAGTGCCGGTCCTGGAGATCAGGCCTTTACTTTTGCTCCCCCTTCACTCCCTCCCACTCCCTCAGTACCCGCGCGGCTGGCGGGGGCATCAGTGGGCAGAGGATCAGGCCTGGGATCTCAACAGGTCCCTGGGGGCCCAAGTGGGCAGGGGAAACCTGGCCACGCTCCCTTTTGATCCTCTGTCCTCCCAGTGGTTCCTCAATTTCCCCCTTTGGGTATGGGATCCCTTCCCCTCCCCCAGCCGCCACTCAGGGGCGCCAGTCACATCCCACCTCCACTTCTCCTCCCCCTTCACTCCCCCCATGCCCCACGTCCTACCCGGTCGCTGGGGGTTCCTCCCGTCCCCTTAGGTGTCCATGGTCCCCCACCAGTGACTGGTAGGTGCCCTAGTTGTGAGGAGATGTGAATTCCGCATCCTCCTAGTACGCCATCTTGACTCAGCCTCTCTGCTTGCTTTTTGAGCCTCACCGCTCATCTACTGTCTACCCCTCATCTCTACACCATGCTACATTCCAATAATACTAAAATATTACAATTGGCCACACCATGCTCAAGTATTTATATTCGTTGCTCCTTCTGCCAGAAATATCACCCCCTGAACAAGTTGGTTAAACTCCTCTGGTCTTTTGACTTCCTTTCCAAGATACCTTTTTTGACCACTGACACCACTCTTTATCCCTCTAACCTGAATCAAGACTCACCAGCTGAACCTATTCTGTACCTTTATTAGGGTATGAATCATGTATTAGAATTAATATCCATATTCATATTAAAAAATCCATTAATAATCCAGCTTTGGCAGGTGCAAGGCTCTGACACCTGGAGAGGACTGTGACGGTTTTAGGTTTGTTGTGTAACAACAAATATCTTGTTCAATGTTCCATGAGAGTTGATAGTAATCCAAAATTTCCCATGAAGGCAGAAGCTATGCAACTTTCATAAATTCAGATTTTTTTAAATCTCAGAGATCATCAGAATACCTGCTCAAATATCTTTATGCTCTTTAAGCTCTTTATTTGTCTGCAAGTCATCTTGTTCAACAAGATCAGGAACAAAGTGGGGAATCATAAAAATAAATACATAAGTAAAAAAGTAAGTATTACCTAAAATATTTTTTCTCTGAGTATGACTCTATGATTTCGATTTCAGCTTTGTCACCTTTGTCTTTTGACTTTATACCCGCCGTAAAAATTCTACAAATTACAGTTCTAGTTTCTTTAAAGTGAATGAGAACTAAAAGAAATAGTCTGAGCGCAGAAATTCTTCCATCTTTTTATTTTCCAAGCACGGGAGCCCAGTCTAGTTGTGGGGTCATCACACAGACTATTGACAGTAATTCCCTACATTTTCTGACCTTGGGAAAGGACAAGTTCAGCTATTTAGAGCAACAGGCACACCAGCTTTCCTGTGGTGCCCTCCTAATGCCTCTCAGGTGACCCTGGATCTGTGGGCTCTGGGTTAAGAGAGAGGAGTCTCCTTGTGACCGGCTTTTAACCCAAATTAACTCCCATTAGCCCCAGCCCCACCTAAGAAGAAGATGTAACTACCCTGTTATTACCATCACGCAAAAGGTAATAAGCTTTCTAGTCATTCTGAGCCATAAAGCATAAAGATGTCCACATTTAACAGAGGGGGCTTGACAAGCAGCACAGGTGTTTTCAAAACCGGGCACTTCCAAGCAGAGAGCTGGTCATAGCCAAGCATGCCAACCTTTGGCTACTGCTTCACCCAGACTTAACTGCACGGCACCTACTTAGCAATTCATCTTTGTTGTTTTCAGAGCATTCAATGGGGTCTTCATTGAATCAACTCTCTATTCCTGCCCTGATTTTATTTGTTTGTGTATTATTTAATCAAATAATGCATTAACAATAATAATTAAAACAAAGAAAAAAGGGAAAAAAATCTGTCTCTTGATAAACATACAGCTCTTTTGGTATGAGGAGATGAGCTTTAGCAACAAAAGATCCAATATTGCAGACATCAGACAGTATGTTAAAAACATAGAGAAAGTGGAAAAACTCAGAGAAGCCTTTGATTGGAGTTTGTTAAGAGAATATCTAGACTGACTTTTAAGATGGCGAAAACCCGCATCTAGTTATCCGACATCATGTTTTATTAAAATCCTGAAAGAACTGAGCGAAATAGGAAAGATGGAGGTGGCCCGTTTATTGTCAAAGCATAAATTTCTAAGAGTTTAAAATACCATTCAAATGCAAATATAAAATAAACACATATTGACAAAATCATTGTACTTTTTAATAAGGGAACCAGCAGGATAGTAAAGCTGTTTCAAAAGAGAATGAGACAGCCTGAACTACTCACAATCAACTGAAGATGCTAAAATATAATTACAAAGTTATATATGAAACTAATTAATGTCCTAGAGAGTACTACAGCCATATTCTTTTCTTCCAGACACAAATCCATTGCTTCCCCAAAGGACAAAATTCGTTGTCAATTTATCAATCATCTACCTTCACTGAGTCTAAATCCTGATCAACAGTAGGTAGTCAATCAAACAGTGGTTCATTCCCCCAGAGCAGGGGTTGGCAAAAGTTTTCTTTAAAGTGCCTGATAGTAAATATTTTAGTATTTTTGTGCCATATAAAATCTCTGTCACATATTGGTTTCCTTTTTTTACTTTTTAAAAATGTAAAATCCATATTAGCGCAAGGGCTGAACAAACAGGCCTTGGTCTGGATCTCACCTGTGGGCTATAATTTGCCAAACCCTGCCCTAGAAAATAAAATAATCCTTGAATGAACCTGTTGCACAAGCTCTAGTGTGACACTGAGAAAAACCTTGCAGTCTTCCCTTGCCTTTCTTCCAAGATTTGGGTAATTTGCTCATCATAGAAATGAGGTAGCAGAGGCAAAAAGAGTTGATTAGCCCAAAGCTCTAAAGCAAGATGCACAGCAGGGACTGGACTGGGGCTTCAGTGCCCTGTTCTCTCATCTCTCTTAATCACGTACATGTACACAACACACACACACACACACACACACACACACATGCATACATGCACACACACACACACACACAGTGACAGTTTTGATAAACTATTTTTTAAAGACTTTATTTTACTTGCTCATTTTATAATGTGATACATAAGATGTTTAATAAGAAATTCAGTTGGCATTGTTTTTCATATTGTTATATTGGGTAGTTGTAATCATAGTCTGTTCTACATGCAAAAATGTCAACGCCAGTTGAAGGGTCAAAGCTAAAAGAGAAGAGAGAAGAACCAAGAAGGAAGGAATAAAAGGAAAGGAAGAAACTCTGACTAGGAAAGAGCAATAAAGATATTTTATCCCTTCAAGAGAGTTGTCAGGGTCCAGTAGGGAAAACAGAAACAATTCTGGGTAGGTTGAAAAGAGCAAGTCTAATACACAGAACTAGTTATCAAAGTGATGCCTGAGCTGAAAAGCTAAGCAAAGGATGGTGATGAAACACAGAGATTAACATCAACTAGAAGTGCTATTGTCTTAGGGCTAGAGGCACACAAGAGGAGGGGGTGTTAACAGATCTCAGGAGTCTGAAGTGTCTATTGGGGTCAGAACACCATGTGAGGGTTGACTGGTAGGAGTTGGAACCACAGAAGGAAGGCCATGTTTGGAGGCATGGAAAAGACGCAGTCCCTGATGAAGACACCACCCAAGGCAGAGAGGGGAAACACTCTGGAGTCTCCCTTCCCCCTCCCCCCACCAATCCCTGTCTGTGGCGCACATGGACAAACCCTCTAAGTGCGTAAAAAAAAAAAAAAAAAAAAAAGAAGGAAGGAAGGTAAATATGGAAATAGAAGTAGGGAAGAAACAGGAACCAAAGAGGAGTTAAGAGAGAAGAAATAAAGCAAGATTGCACAATAAGGCAAGATTCTTGAGAGTGAGCTTTCATTTCTGCATGACAGAAGTTGCCGCCCCTAATAAACCACCCAATTTAACCTACGAAAGACAGGGTGTTGAAAACACTACAAAATATACATAACTCACTAATGTCAAACACATCTATCACTACTAACATTATAATTATCAGACACTATTAAAAAACCTAAATGTGCATAATGAAAAAGAATACTGTTATATCTCCCTGAATTTGCATTTTCAAGTAATTCAGAATCGTAAGTATAATAAAATCATTATGCTGAATTACTTTTATTAAACCTACAATATGAAATAAAAAGGTATTTAAATCCAAGTAAAGTACTTAATGAAAATTCTTATTTTATGAAATGCACATATTATGAAACTATATTTGAGTTATTTAAAACTGTTGTTTAAATTAGGCTTCTTAAATATTTTGAGAATGCTACTGAACTTATACACAAACAACTATAATGTCCCAGGAATTTAAAATAATATTTAGCAGTAATTAAACTATACAGATTTTTAAATATAACCATTTTTGAATGTGAACAAACTTAGCGAGTTTTATTAAGCAAGTGTATTTTAGAAACATGCCTTGGGAAAAATACAATTTCTTGGGGATATGAAATATAAGAAAATAATTGGGGAACTTTTAGGAAGTCCCTGAAAATTTTTAACCATATAACTCTTTTAACTTAAGGTTACTTTTCTTTCATGATTAAAATGTTAAATTTAGAAAAGTAGCAACTTTTCAACAAAAAGTAACGTACTGGTTGTGAAGAGCAACGTACTGGTTGTGAAGAGCTATGCTATACATTATGCAAATTTAATTTTACCCTTGCTGTAACACTGAATAAATGCACATACTATGTCATAATGAAGCATTTCTTCCTAGTACTATTCTAAACTTACCATACAACTCAGCCATCAGTAAAATGTTATTTAATATATTACAAGTATTTGTTAATACCAAAGGTTTAATTAATTAATTCTATATCACAATGCTTAAAATAATATTTCTTACCTCACTGTTTTCACTTACTGGAAGGATATGAGATGTTATCCTATTTTGAAGTTAACAAGTTGGCCTACTATAATCCCATAGATGACAGAAGACACAAGACTCCTGAATCTGAAACAAAAGATGTTATTACTCATAGTAAAAGCAGTAGGCAAAGTATCAGGACCCTTGAGTCCCCCCTCCCACAGGTGCAGAGAGCTGGGTGACACCTGCATACTCAATGGTTTGTGTCACAAGAGAGAAAGCCTGAGCTTAGGGAACCTGAATCTTTATAATGGGCAGTAAACATGCCTATCCTTTGCTCTGGAGAGAGAGACACTATTTTCTAGGCTGTTTGCAAAAATAGTCAGTGCTTCTGCTTAAAAGATGGGCAGAAATGTGAGAGGCCCGTGGAGAAATGTCTCCCAACAGCTACCCAAAGCCTGGAAAATAACTAGTCTTATTACAGGGAACACAGGGAAAATGCTCAGACATCTTTGCTCTGTGGACTGTGAATGCAGAGCTGCATCTGAACTTGCAGGAAGCCATTCTCTGAGAGCAGGAGGTAATAATCAACAGAGAAAAGGTAACAGTCATCTTTCATCAGAGACGATACTCTCCATAAAAGTAAGTCAAAGTATATTACTTTGCATGAGATGGGATTTTTCTCTTTGGAAGCTCTTCAGCAAGCTGCCTACAAATGGATAAGAGAAGTGCCCTAGAAAAGAGGCCCATGTTTTCTAAAGATGGAAATACTTGGAGTTAAACAGATTGCATTTAAAATAAGTGTCACAAGTGAGATGACTCAACTGAAACTTCGCTGCTTGATCTTCTGTTTGCTCTTCTAAAAAGAAGTCATCATTTCAGATCTTAAATGTACCAAATATAGTTTCAGTTGTGTCACACCCCTTGTGGCTCCACATTTCAGTTATGCAATATTACAGTGGAACAATGCTGCCCACTTGAAATTCAGCTTCATTTACTGTGTTGCGGTAGTCCTGAGAACCCTCTGAGTAGACATCAAAGCAATCATTCCATTTCTGCTTAAATCAATGTGTGTCTATTGGGAGTAATACTAAATTCTGGTGCTATACAAATTTTTTAAATAATTAAACACAGTTTCCACTATAAGTGGCACAGGACACCTCCTTATGAATCCACTAATTCATCAAGTACACAGATGTAATTTATGCACACAATAACTAAACTGTATAGTTAGAAGTTTTAAAGAAAACCATAATCAAAACAATACATTAAAATCACTGATTTTTCTTTCGTTTTTTTTTTTGGGGGGGGGCCTCATTTAAAAAAATTGTGCTACCTCTACTCCAACCCTAACAAAAATCTCCACAAAATAGGGCAATATCTTAAGTAACTTGATATACTGTTGTATAATATAAATGTTTAAGACTGTGCACCAGACTGCTTACTATAAGAGTATTTTATTTTGCTTATTATTTTGCTATTGATGCCTTCCTGCAGAGTTTTTACTCTCATCTACTTAATCTATTATTGGAGTATTAAGAATCACCCAAGTTGACAAGGTAAAGTAAAAAAGCAGTTACTGCTCCAATTCACCATCCATCCATCCATGCATCCATCCATCCATCTACCCACCCACCCATTTTTCCAGTCATCTATATAGTAAGCCTTTCAACCATTAATTAATCCAGCAAATAATTAACTGTTGAGTTGCTTCATAACTGTGGTTCATAGAAAAATGAGTAGGGACTTCTCCCAATGGGTTAAATAACATGTTGCTTTCACTGATCACATAATAGGGAAATTATTACAGGAATGCAATGATAGAAGGCCCTGTATGTGAGTCAGCTGGGATAGAGCAGAGAGTTTAAGAAAGTGAGAAAGAATGCGTGTGTGCGTATGTGTCTGTTTGGAACAGGAAGAGCCTCAAAAGAGGTTAAGACTTAGCCTTTCAATGCAGGGGGTGTGGGTTTGATCCCTCGGCAGGGAGCTAAGATACCCCATGCCTCGGGGCCAAAAAACCAAAACATAAAACAGAAGCCATATCGTAACACATTCAATAAAGACTTTGAAAATGGCCCACATCAAAAAAATCTTAAAAATAAAAAGAAATCTAAAGAATAAGTTAGGCTTAAACCAATACTGAAAACCTACCAGATAGGGTGATGGGATATAAAAGGTGTTGGGGGAAAAAAAGAGGGCGAGCGAGCACGTGAGTTTTGAAAACCTCAAGGCCCAGTCAGCTGCTTGAGTGAATGATTTACGGTCTCATCCTATCTCTATTCACATTCACTGGTCTTCTCATTTCTGTGGCTGAATCTGAAAATGGAGACATATGGCAGCCCTAGAAATTCTACCGCTCCTCTCCCCAACCAACACCTAATAAGCCAAGATTGTGGGGCCACACAGAAGAGGAGTAGAACTTCTCCTTTCGGCTTTGCTTTGTTGCCTGCTGACGTGCCACAAGTTAGAGGTATTAATATTCACACATTTCAGAAATGCTCATTGAATACTTGCTATGAGGTATGCAAGGCATTAGTTTCTAGGGAGACAAAAATAAATAGGGTGGATAGAACATCTGCCTCTTTGGAAAGTACAGCTTAGCAGCAGAGAGAAAACGAAACAAGCCCAATAATATTTTCTATTAAAGGGAAAGGATAGAGTTCATAGAAGGACATGTCAGTCTTTGACAGGGATGGAGAGCTCAAATAAATCCTTCCAACAGGCATCTACCATTCTCTGTGCCCGAGTGGGGAGGAAGCTTGTCAAGGGGTTTAAGCAACAAAGAAAATTAAAATTTTCTTTTAGAAAGATGCCTGAAGTGTTGAAATGCCATGGAAATGAACAAAACTTTCACTTCTAGGTGTTAAATGTTTATGTATAATCTTGTCAATGTAAAAATGTTCACCAAAATATTCTATAACTTTGATCTCCTTTCTACATGCAAGGTATAAGCATCTTCAGGGCAAGAAACTTTCCTTTCACCAAGTAGTGGGACAGAGCTTCATACACAGTAAACACATTTTAAATACTCTTGTAATGTCTAATCCAAACCCAGAAAATACAACACACTGAAGCTGGCAGTGTCTGTTTGCTTTCTGTAGACAATAAATAAGTTCATCACAGACCCTAAAAGTGGTTACAAATATGGTTGACATGATTATAAGACCTTGATTTTGTAAGATTTTCATGTTCCATATGCCACGGAATTAAAAAATTATGTCAAAGTTTGACTAAAATTCTGTAACCAGTTCCTTAAAAATATCAAGCAACCTCCCTTCTATTTCCTTGGTCTACACCGGAGGAAGGTGGGTTTGTGGATGGGGAAATCAACTAACACTTTTCACAGAGTAAACTAGAACCTCTCCAGCTCACCTGCTGACGGAATTCTGTGGCACCCACATATGTATTTTAGAATGAGGACAACTTCCTACCTGACTGCTCCACAGCAAAATTCATACCATTGTGGGGAGGGGGGGAGGGGAAATTCACCCCTGAACTTTCACCCAGTTAAATGTCTAACTCTGGCAAGAAGTGAAAGAGCACCTGGTGGAAAATCAAGGCTTGCTGCTGATTCGCATCTCCACAATTCCCCCCAGGGGAGTCGGGTGGCCAGTTAAGCTTCATTGCTGAGCACCAGGCTATGGGGTCTGGCCCTTTCAAAACTCACAGCTGTAGCGGTGGAGACTTCTTCCCCCAGCAGGGTTTCAACCCCACACTAATCCCAGTGACACTTTACCCTAACGCACTCAAGCCGAGAGGGTAGATCCACCTTTAGAATGTTGTCTTATTATTTGGGATTGATTTTCAGTTAATTTTCTTTTCTGAATTTTAACATATTCCCTGGTCTTTGCTACTTATTTGGTTTATGATGAATAAGATTAGTGCTGGGGAAAAACACACCTGTGGGAAAACGATGAGTGCAAAATTTTCATTAAAAAACTCAGAACACACAATTTAATAAAATTCAGAACTCACTACACATTTATGTTTTGAATTTCACACACAAAAATTATTCCTTGCTTTGAATTTAGAAAAAATCCAAAAATTGTCGGTTATAGAAATCTCAAACCACCTGAAGATGAGTGTATTTTATATCCCCGCCTTTGTAAAGGTAGGGTTTTCTGTCACTACTCCTCCTCTAATGCTTTTTCTCGGGATTCCGATAACTAAGATTTTTCAGGATATATTCTCCATCTGACATCGACAGGAGTGAAATCGCAAACCTGTGCCTGACTCACTTTCTTTTCAGGTTTATTTTTATAAATAAGTAAGTTGTTATGCCTCCTCGTCACCATGACAGCTTTCTGCAGTGCCGAAAACACACCCTTTCCCCCTGACACTCTTGTCCTACTCAGATTCCACGGTTTGCATTGAAAATGAACGAATCCTGAATGATATCCTTATTCCAGGCCTTCTGCAAATGGGTTTGGCATCCAGGTTGCTGCTGGAGTGTGAATAATTTTCCATTCTGCATTCATTAGTCATAGAAACAAGCAAAGAGGATTTATAGGAAATGATGGAATCTAGAGGCTAATCTTTTTTCTCTGGTGGTGTAATTGATTTCTTGACATCCTTTCATTTTTCTCTAGCTCTAGGAACACAAATGATAGGCAAGAAATTTTCTAAAACATAATTAAATATCGTCTTTCAAGAAAAAATTGTATGTGAATTGGGACAAGAAAAGTGTATATATTTGAGAGAAATATAGAAAAAAGACAAGCAGTAATGCTCAGACAGGTAGGAAGTATGAAGAAAAGGAAGAGGCTAGAAGAGTGAATGGCAGTTACGTAAGTACTACACCAATGATGACTGTAAAGAACGTAATGATTTTTACTTTGCATCTTTTGATACAAGTGCCATCACAATCTAGTTACAGGTCACATTCATACAGACGGTACCTTGGCACTTTCTGATTCTCTAAATTTGTGTGAATGTTTATAAAGAGAAAAGTCAGCAGAAAAGGAAGTGACATTATGGAAACTCTTTTAAATGAGATCTTTGTAAGCTCCAGTTTAACTGAATAAATAACATTACAAGTAAATTCACGGGACAATTAGGAAAAGGGGTTTAAAAACAGATACATATAAAAAAACTTCTACTAAGCAATGAATCATGTGAGAAAGCTTCAAGAATATTGAGCAAATGCA